CATAGAGTTTGGTTTGGCAAATGTTATAGTGGTTACCATAATCTAGTTGTATGAAGATTTATTTGTGAGTTTATGATAATAAAGTCAAGTAATAACAACAAAAGAAATAATGCCATTATCCATACCAGGTTCCTATATATATTTCCCCAGACTCTGAAAAATAATCACTTGACTTTAATGTCTCCATCCAGAGATAAGCATTGGCAATCCTCATGGGGAGTCTGTGTCTGATGAAGGTTTTTCAGAAATTCTGGAGAGTTTACTTGAAATTATATCAGTTTAAATTTCAAACAGTTTTTATTTTTTCTGCTTAGTAATTCCAATCACTGAATACTCTTTGTCTGTGTTGTATATTATTCTATAATTAGGTAAATCCACAAAGTGTGAAAGGTTACTCTTAGCATCTCAACTTCAGGCAGAAAAAAAAGAAAACGTTCTCTCTAAAAAACACCCAAGTCTTTTTGTCTGGTTCAAATATGAACAGAGTAGCAACTAAAGGTGACTTGTTCAACTATTAAATGATGGAGGCTGAAAGTGAGTAAAAATCCTCAGGCAAAGAACAAGAACTCAACACTATCTGTTGTCAAGATGGCTACATTTTCAGAGTCCAAAATTTTATATTAAAATCTATAATTAAATTTCTAAAAATTAATGTCATAACACAAACAAAATCTCTCCTTTTCTCTGTAGAATAAAAATTATCTTTATTTCCTGACCCCCCCAAAAAAATATAATTCCAAGAAAGGTGTTTTCCACCTACTGACACTATTCATTAATCTGTATAGAATGAAGTAAGTCTCCCAGCAAAATGCAAATGAATAAACCCATATCAAAACCTTTCTGGAAAAGCTTTATGTAGAAGCAACAGGACACAAAACCAGCATAAACATGTCCAGATCACACAGGAGCAGAAAACATAACAAAGCATTCCTCATCACTTTAGATAAGGCTTGCTAAGTAATGTATTTCATGCTCCCTGCCTATAGCTTTAAGTCCAGTACTAGAAGTATACTTGTAGCGATAATTGTCATATTAACAAGGATAGTAAAGCCCAGAAAAAATAAATCACAGATCTAATAATCCTTTTAAAAAATCAGATACAAAATAATGTTTAAAATCTTGAAATACATGCACACAAGGCTTGGGGATAACCCATCCTTGATGTTGTGGATATGCAAAGGAATTGTAATAATAACTTCCCAGCATGCTTTGCATCAATCAGTCTACTTCCATATCCCTCCCCTTACCAGGACAAAGTTTAAATCATTCACTCACATCTTCAGGCTTTGTCTCTATTCAGGCTTGTTTCTTGCTATTTCACATTTGTGGAGTTCATATTTTCTCCCTAACAGGGTGCCTATACCCAAATATATGTGTTCTCTGATGTGTAACACAGGCACAGATGCTGGCAGCAGCCATAATTTCCTGTGTTCTCCTACTCAGAGGCCCTACTCATCTTCTTGCAGAGGACCTGTCCTCCAGGAAGCTTTCCTGGTTCCCAGTCTTTACACCTAGAGTCCTGTTCACTCTCACTCTGTTTCTCGTGTTAGCTTCTCTGTTTTCACTGCACCATGTACAGCTCCATAACAAAGTCCAAGTCTGCTTTATCCTAATAGCCCTGGGAGCCCAGGACAGCAACTAGACCTACCAAATGTTCTGATGTAGATGTCAGTGCTATTTATAAATTAGAAAGACCAAAGGAATCATGCATACACAAGGGCTGGCAAGATGGCTCAGCACGTGAAGACATTTTCCACCAAACTTGAGGACCTGAGTTCAATTCCCAGAATGCATATAGGGAATACAACTCCCACAAATTGTCATCTGGTATCCAAATATGTGCATGGCATACAGGCTCCAATACACATTCATACACACACACACACACACACACACACACACACACACACACACACACAAATAATTACAATGAAACATTTTAAAGACATGAATATATGATACAGTTAAATGCAACATAGGCCATATCAAACTGTGAAGTGTAAAATTCAAAACAATTGCTAATTAAAACAAGATTTTTTTAAAAAATCCAGAATTTGAGTTGAGCTCATGAGGACAGAAAATGAGGATTGGAGGCAAATACAGCAATATGATAAACAGAAAACCAAGGAGCCAGCAGCATTGGGCCTAAAAATATTACAGGAAAAATAAAAGGGAACAGATAAATAGGAGTAATATAAGGATAAAACACCTAGAGTCTGAAGAGATGGCTCAGTGGTTAAGAGTGCTTGCTGCTCTTGTAGAGGACCTGGGTTCAATTCCCAGCACCACTGGGCATCTCACAACTGCCTGTATCTCTAGATCTAGGGAACCTGACAAACACATGCACATGTGCACACACACAGACACACACACATAAATAGGAGACTTAGTGTCACTCATGTCCATTACCTTGGGGAAGGAAGGCCAGTTTTCAGTACCAAAGCCTTAAAGCTACATCCATCAGCATCAGTAGTATATCTCTGATTAAGTGTCCTTCCCAACTGATTCATATATCACTTCTGGGAAATATTAGTGTGTACAAATGTATATGTAGGGCATCATTCATAAGAGTTCCCTTAAAACTAGCAAAATAAATATAATGTCCTTTAATCGGGACCTCTGTAATGTAAGCGATACATCCCCAGGGATTGAATACCATGAGCCAATATATCAAATACATTCTATGTCCTAGTGATGCCTGACTATTCATTTCCCATTATTGTTATAATCATACAATAATATCAAAGTTATATGTTCTAATTAAAAGAAAATATGTGAAACTGTCACAATTACATTGAATTTTAAAATATACTCACTGAAATCAATCTGAAAATATAATAAACTAACAGTGGCAGAGTTATGAGGGATATTTTGCTTTGCTTATATGCATTTTACATATTTTCTAAAGTGATAATCTCTTAATTATATGGCTATAAAAAATAAAAGTTGGGCAGGCAAGTGCTACTTGCCCACTAGTCTAATGACCAGGGTTCAGTCCCTGAGTCTTGCAAGGGGGCAGGAGAGAACTAACACAGAGAGTTATCCTCTGACACTAAATGATAAAATATTTTTAAAAAGATATTTTTAAAATAAAATTTCCTATTGGCCCTCAGAAATGAGGGAGAAAGGATACATTGGAACAGGGAGTTTGAGTGAAAATGCTGAGGTTACTTCTGATAGAACTCATATTCCAGTAGGACAAACAATTAAAGGACTTTTAGGAAATAACTGTGTCTTGAACCATCATCATCCACAGGGACTGTGTCAAATGTATTCCACACTCGGTAGACTTGAAGCATCATCACCATTCATGGGGACTATGTCAAATACAGTAGAATACAGGTAAAGTAGTGGCAAAACCAAGCAGGTTCTCCTCACAGGACCCATCAAAGCCTTTAAGGTGCTAGTTTTCTTCATGTATCTACAAGATGGCAACATATTAGTCATCATTCCTACACACATTTGTTTCTTTTCTCACAGAATATCTGATAGGACACATTTAATAGCATGCACTTTGAAAAATGTTACATTACACCAGTATAATGCTCATACTGAAGTGATTGCAAGTAATATAAATGTATAATCAATTCAATCAAAATAAATTATCTTAGCTCAAATTTTTTTCTTGCCCTTAGCACTACTGAGTGCACCACATTTGAGGCCACATAATGTGCTTATTTGGGGTACTTTCCAGTGCAACGTTAACTACCTAGCCTACACCACAGATGCCTGTAGTACCCACTCTCAACATAAGAACTAAAAATGTCCAAGGCCTTGCTTACATCCCAAACAGTACTTTAAGGAATACTTATTTCAGAAACTTGAGTGAGAAACTCCAGAGTGGGTCAGAATTCTCAGCTCCACTTTCCCAGTCTTCAACATAAGCTACCTTAACACCTTGGGGAATGTCTGTATGATCTAGCTAATGTATAATGTCATCATGTTGCTTTTCTAAACATTGTGTCAAAGACAGCCATCTGCTGAAATGCTGCACAGCACACTTATCCTTTTATCTGTGCCACATTTTGGTGAATTTTCATTGAAAAAGGAAAACAGACGTGACTTAAAAACAAATTAAAATGTCCTTCATTCTTATATTAAGAGCCACAAACAAGTATTCTTTAGGGTGAATCATTTGCACAGGACCTAGGTACACAAAGATATGTACACACACACACACACACACACACACACACACACAGAGTTAGTCTTAGACCACTAGCCAATATGATTTCTAGAATCCTTCTTAACACTAATAATCAGTGAATATCACAAACATTTACTTTTAATTTTTGTTCATTATATAAAACATTTTATACATCCAACTCATTTACTAGCTTTTGCAAAACTTTCTGTTGAAGAAACACTAATCAAACAGTGAAATATGTATGGTAAGGTGGACTCAGGACTTAAAAACCCTTTTGTTGAAATCCCAGTGTACTACAGGATACTTTAACTATGAGTTTATTTTTAGACATCAAGAAGCTAAATATATAACATATGGAATAATGAGATACAACATTAGTTTCTAATGAGCCTTTTAAAGCTATAAGCAAATAGTAAGCTAACATTAAAATAAGAATTGTTGATGAAAAGAATCTTGTAGAAAAAAAGTGAAATAACTGGGTGAATTGTTCATGGAAGAAAGACTAAGCTCACTTCTACAGGAAAAATCCTTACAGATCATCCCTATGCTACTTCAGGATGATAGAGAGGAATCATATTAAGACATATATAACTAACATCATCAAAAATACTAAAATGATCATCTCACTAATTTCAAAAATTCTAAATCAGAGATACTAGCATGTGCACATTTATTATAGCAAAATTCACAATACCAAGTTACACAACAGCCTAGGAGTCAATCAATAGATGAATGGATAAAAAAACACCATGTACATATAGACATGGAGTTTCATCCATAACATTATGACATTGTCACAAAAACCATTGGAACTGCGAACCATTGTGTTAAGCAAAATAAGCATGACTCAGATATGTGTGATGATGACAATGACGATGACGATGATGATGATGATGATGATATAAGCAGGACTATTTGGAAGAAGAAAGGAACTATCAGGAATGGAGTAGTGGTACAAAAGACTAGTGAACTTAAGAATATTCAAAGCACATGGTATACTGGAATTAAAATGTCATTATGAAGCTTGTCACTTTATACAATGACTTTTTTACTCCTAAGAAAACAGTAAATCTGATCCTGAAATGAATAAAAGAAAGAAGGTCCGGAAGTCATTAAATGATACTCTATACATCCATCCACTCATTAAACAACTGCTACCACCTACAATATTACTGATAACTCTCAGTAGTTGGGATATATCAGCTAACAATCAATAATTAATAATGATAAATATTAATACTTTATGCCACAGAACTAAAGCAATATTGATGTATAAAATAATTACAGTTTAAGCTAGAAACTGTTGAGTGATAGAGGACAAGGAAGACTAGAGTAGAGTGAGGAATCATGAATGAGATCAATGGACAGACAGCAATTTTAAACAAAAGGTAAAAAATAGACTTGCATTGAGTTACTAGCAGTTTCACAAAGCAAAAATAAAACAGAGTGATCCTTGCATATACTTTGAGGACTACCACTCTGAGGAAAGGATACAGCAAGAAATAAGGCATCAAGGACTGATTGTGCCTAGAATGTTCAAAGAACAGCAAAAAGGATGGCGGGTAGAGTAAGTTGCAGTGAGAATAACAAATGACTTAAAGAGGTCACATGGCCAGATCTTTTCTGATGTTTACAAAGACTTTAGTTTTACTCTGAGTAAAATGGAAACACATCAAGGGTATGAGCAGAGCAACAAATATGCAGCCCACATTTTTAAATAAATTGCACTGGCTACTGTGTTGATAGGTAACAGGTTACAGTGGGAAAGGTGAGATAAGGGAGGAAAGGAGACTGGTGTATTTCAGGAAACTAAGCAGATTAGATCTTTCTAAGCAGCATAATAGTGTAGCAGTGGTGAGGACTAGCTGGGGTTTGAATCCAGATCCAGAGGCTATACAATAGAGGCTGTGGATAGTTTCCCAAGGATAGCTTTTGGTTTTCCAACTGGAAGGAAGAAGTTTCATCAACTCTAATTAAGAAAGCTACAAGTAAAGCAAATATAGATGAAGTACATCAAGAAGTATTCTGACACTCCTGTGAGGGAATCAGGTAGGCAGGCTACAGATCTTTCCTCTCCTTCCATCGCTCCAGATCCAGTATCCCAGTCTCATCCACAGTGCTATAGCAGACTCTGTGGTGATCTCTCTTCACTGTCTCCCTACTCCAAGGATACTAACCAAGCAGATCCTGGTTACACACTCTGCTCTTCTCCCTCTTGTGAAACACTTCAAACCCCTAGCCTATCCCCATTTCTACATGTCTACTCCCAATACCCAGAAACACATATTACCTTGAACTTCAGTGGCCACATCTATTAAGTCTACAGAAAATTTCCAACCAGACTACATACAGCTGTCACACTTTTCTAAAATCCAGAGAGAAAGTAGAAACCAAGGAACAAAACACCCACTGAACAAAGAAAAAAACAGATATCAGCACCTACAGATGTAATCATCCCAATCTCACATAAAAACAAAATCAGTAAGAGCCAGGAAAATGTATCTACACTAGAGTCTGGCAACTCTACCACAGCAGGTCCTGAGTATTGCAACATAGTTGGAGCACAAGAAAAAAGATATTAAAACAGGCTTTATAAGTGTGATAGAGGTACTTAAGAGGAAATAAATATATCCCTTAAAGAAAGAAACAGTGCAAGAAAATGAATAAAACCACTCAAGACCTGCAAATGGAAGCAGAATCAATGAAGAAAACCCAAACTGAGAGAATTCTGAAAATGAAAACTTTAGGAATTCAAACAGGAACTACAGTAGCAAGCTTTACTAACAGACTACAATAGATGGGAGAGAGCCTCTCAGACATTGAAGACACAATAGAAAAAAATGGGTATATCCATCAAAGAAAATGTTGATCTAAAAAACTGACAGAAACATCTAGAAAATCTGGGACATTATGAAAAGGCCAAATCTAAGAATGACAGGAATAGAGCAAAGAGAAGAAACCCAGGTCAAAGATACAGAAAATATTTTCAACAAAATCATAGATGAAAATTTTCCTAACCTAAAGGAGACACCTATAAAGGAACAAGAAGCATACAGAACAGCAGACAGATTGAACCAGAAAGTCCACTCAACACAGAATAACCAAAACACTAAATGTACAAAACAAAGAAAAAATATTAAAAACAACAAGGGGAAAGACCAGGTAACAATACAAAGGCAGAGCTGTTAGAATTACACCTGATTTCACAGAAAAGCCAGAAGAGTCTGAATAGATGTACTGCTGACTCTAAGAGACCACAGATGTCAGCTCAACCCAGGGTGCTGCCAAGACAACAGTTTGCTCATTCAGCCATGATCAGAGAGGCTTTCTCTTACTACAGATGAGAACAAACACAGAAACCCACAGCCAGATATTATGAAAAGGAGGCCTTGGAACACACTGCTCTAAATGAGATGTCTCCCATCACATCCCTCCCCTCAGAGCTCAACTGAATCCTCTGGAAGAGGTTGCAGAAGGAGTGGGGGAAATATGAGCATTCAGAGAACACCAGAAAAACAGGGTCCTCTAAATCAACTGAGCGAGCTCCTATAAACTCACAGAGACTGAAGCAGCAAGCACAGGGCCTACAGGGGTCTGCACCAGGTCCTCTACACATATATTATAGCTTTCAGTTTAGTACTTCTGAGTGAATGAGTGGGTCCCTGATTTTTGTGTCTTCTCTTTTATTTTTCTGCTGGCTTGACTTGTCTAACTTCAATGTGGTGGTTTTTGTTTTATTATATTATATTTTTGTTGTTATCTCTTAGAAGCCTATTCTTTTCTAATGAGAGAAAGAAAGGGAGTAGATCCAGATGGGAGAGGAGGTGAGGGCAACTGGGAGGAGTAGAGGTAAGGGAAACTGTAAACAGGATATATTGTATGAGAAAATAATCTATTTCCAATAAGAGGAAAAAATATTCTGAACATACTATATTTATAGGGATTTAGTTTTATAAGTGAATAAATGCTGTATACATTTAAATTCAGAGTTTGTAATGGTTTTGAGATGAAATACATTCCTATAGCAATGGTTCTCAAACTATGGGTCATGACCACTTTGGGTTGAACAACCCTTTCAGAGGTGTCATCTAGACCACTGGAAAACACAGATATGTTTTGTTTCATAACAGTAGCAAATTACAGTTATGAAGTAGCAAGAGAAATAATTTTATGGTTGGGGATTACCCAAAATATGCCAAACTGTATTAAAGGGTCACAGCATTAGAAAGGTTGAAAGCCACTGTCTTAGAGTCTAATGTGCTGAATAAAGTTTTTCCCCCAATTGACAGATTAAAACTGTTCAAGACCAGAAAAATGGAAAAAGAATCAATTAAAAAAAACACAAACTGAGGAAATTCTGGAAATGAAAAATTGAGGTAAGCTAACAGGTGTTATGAATCAAATGGACCTAAAATATATTTATAGAACATTTTACTTAAATTCAAAAGAACATACCTACTTCTCAAGCACCTCACAGAACTTTCTCCAAAATTGACCACATACTCTGTCATAGACCAGCTCTGACCTGTCAAAGGGTTCTTAGGGCCAGGAGTGAGGAATGAGGAAATATTAGATAGAAATGTAGACAGAAATGATAAGACAGAGACACAGGATAGCTTTGGGAGGGCCCCGGGTCAATACCTGGTTGGCCCAACTTTATTCATAATGGGCCTTTTATCCATCAGCAAGGGGAAGGGCAAAAGATTCCCCCCTTCCAAGGTCGAGGCATAAAGTACCAATCAGTGTAGACCTTTCAAAACACCTGGTAACCATGCTCTTGGCCAAATCATCCCATTATGCAGCCCCGCTGGGCAAAGGAAGCTCAGACTTTCTGACCTTGAGAAAGGCCTTACTAGGGTGCCTCTGTGGGCCCCCACAATACTCAGTCACAAAACAAGTCTCCACAGATACAAGAAAATGGAAATAACTCCTGCATCCCATCAGACCACCACACTTCAACAATAACAACATACAACAAACAAAAACTATAGAACTCCTACACACTCATGGAAATGGAGCAACTCTCTACTGAATGACTGCTGGATCAAGGAAGAAACAGAGGAATTGAAGCCTTCCTAAATTCAATGAAAATGAATGCACAATGTGCCCAACCTTGAGGGAGACAGCGAAAGTGGTGCCAAGAGGAAATTTCATAACAGTAGATGCTTACATAAAAACATAGGAGCAATCTCACACCAGAAACTTAACAGAACACCTGATAGCTCTGGAAGAAGTAGATAGCAGGAAATAATCAAACCAGGGGCTGAAATGAATACAACAGAAACAAGGAGTAAAATATAAATAATCAATGAAACAAAGAATTGGTTCTTCTGGAAAATCAACAAGATAAACAAACCCTTACCCAAACTAACTAAAAGGCAGAGAGAACTGTAGACGAATTTCTAAACAGTCTTATCAAATCAGAAACACAGAGCCAAATACAGGGGGGACAGCCAAAGAGATCAGACCAAATAGTGAAGAACCACGACTAGCCTTAACTTACCACCTCGCTGTAGCTTGCCCAGAGAGAGCTTTTTTCTGTCTAAACTGTGCTTTTATTGCTTTCCTGTTCTTCCTTCTCATTGGCTCTAAGCCCAGCCACATGACTTCCTCATCACTGCTTGTCTATACAGACCTCCAGGTCTCTATGGTTGGTTCTGGTATTAAAGGCTCCTGTCACCACACTTGGCTGTGTCCTTGACCACACAGAAACTCTGCCTGCCATGTGATTGGATTAAGTGCATGGGCTACCACCACCTGACTCCTGTTTATGGCTTGCTTTGACCTCTGATCTCCAGGAAAACTTTATTTATTAACATACAAATAAAATCACATTTCATCACAATTAAAATATCACCACAGAGAATATCCAAATTAACATAATCAGAAATGAAAAGATGGACATATCCTATCATTAGCTGATACCTTAAAAACCTGTGTTCTACAGAATTG